ACCTCACAGCAATTTGTGAGCCTATTGTCTAGAAAATGTGGGATCCTCGACGTCTCAGAACCCTATGGGCAGCCACGGCCTGTTACAGGGATAGTTTTTTCTATACAATGTTAATAAAAATTTAATTCGAAAAAATAACTAAGATATTTATTAACAAATGGTACATATAATCTTGAATTTGCTACAATATCCTGCAACATAATAACATACTAAAATAGGAGTATTCAAACTTAACACTACAGAGCTTTATTTACAATTACACTAAGGATTAGTGTCTTCTAGCATGTAACGCCTTGTAGCATGTTAGATATTTGCGAACTTGTAGGGGGGGGGGCGCTGTCTCCACATTTACGAGGAAGCAGCGCGTTCCACTAAAACTTAATAAATATCTACAAGGTTACACGGCGTCACATAAATAATAGTAACTCTCGTTTGAAAAATCAATTTTAAACATTTATCTAACCGTCGAACACACTTTTAGAACAAAACACTTCGAATTATATAATAATAATAATAATAAGAAGAAGAAGAAGAAGAAGAAGAAGAAGATTGGTTTTGCGAAGATGGTACGCTCAACTGTAAAAGATAAAGTTGTCCCTGTACTTAATTAAGCACTACGCCATGAAGACGTATAGGAGAGTGGATGTACAGATCCACATATTCTTGACCTCGGCTCTAGTTGGAGGCGAGTGGTCAGCCTCGACCTCTTTATCCCCGCTGAAAATCCTCCAGTTCCCATTGGATAGGGGGCTGGAATATCAACTAAATACACTTTGATAGTAATGATTCTGCATTACTAGTTTCACATAAAACAATAGGAGTGTCATATGTTATAACAGTCAAGTAATTGCTGTAAATTTATTTAAGTATATAATAGTCTATATACAGAGTGGGCAGAAAGACTCTTCACATATTCGGAAACTTATTTTGAAGCAATCAAGCAAAGACACAACATCCAAATATTTAGACACTAAACTACAGTTGATAAATTTATATTACGACTTACATGAAATCGATTTGTGCACGTTTTGTAATTCTATGCATATAAAGATGCTACTCCAGTTCCATCCATAAATTTTGCAGCAAATAACGTGTTTGTAAAATTAGAAGGTACTTAAATGATGAATGTACTTCAAATTCCGTACGGTAGCGTCTCTGCACCCGTTTCACGCATTTGGTTTTGTTAAACAACAGAATGTAATTCAATTTTAGCAGAGATGTCTCCATTTTCTTTACTACAGTGCCCCTGGCGCCAAATCACTACAACTGCATGTGCAGGTTTTGACTCAAAACTTTGACAGTTGTAATCTAATGTGTTAGATCTGGTATATATATTTTATTCTTTCAGAATAAATTTATTAAATTGTAAAGGCCGTTTATGCTCACCTCGTATACGTTTATTAAAATAATGACAGTAAGACTTAAGGACAGCAAAAAGAATTACCATAAAGGTGGAAGTGAATCGCCTCACTAAAAATCATTACCGGTATGAATTCCCCATACTAATTGGATTCACGCTCTCTGACAGACGGCGGAAGTCTCTCCGGCTGCGAGAAGTCGGGGAAACGCTCTTAGCAGCATAAGGTAAGGAGCCAATAGTCGTGCAGGGGAGTTACCTACTGTTCAGTGCCGCAAAGAGCTTCAGTAACATAGGAAGAGATTCAAGGAGAGATCTGAGTATATAATTTCTGACGATACTGTTGCTGCATTACTGATTTCCAATTCAATGCTGAAAATGGGGTTCAATTCAGAAACCACGTAGCACAGAAGTACCCAGACTAGTGCGAAAACAATTTCTCGGTGATATCTAAGCATATAAATGTATGATTTGAGGTTCTTACAGCGGTGGCTATGAACAGTCCCATATTCTGGTATATAAAGGAGAGTAGATTTTTGAAAGTCAACAGATGTTACAATTGAATATGTATCCTCTGACTTCAGGGTCGAAGAGCGTTATATCCCAGAAACTAGAACTTTTCATAAACAAGTACACTTTGAGATAATACCATTTCCATCACACTATTTCCAGACTGTGAGATGGAAAGAGTTTGAAATGCACAAGCATTCGCATTATTAACTACGGTGGGAATATTTTCTCGGCGATTTCTAACTATAGGATGATTCTAAATTATTGCCGGGGTTTCCGTGACCCATAATTTTCAAACTGGAAGTAACAAAATATTAATAATTAATTCCGAAATATGAAAGTGTATAATAATTGCAGTTGTTATATAATTGTATTTGTAATAGTTTATGTATTCTGTTCATTGCGTGTAGTGTGTTATTTGTGTATTGTGTCTTATTGTATTACCACTGCCACCCGGTAAAAACCATTTGCAATTAAAAATAAATAATAACTCAAAGCGGGTTTCAATCTGTAGAATCAATTATAAATAATGTTAAACAACTTCAATATGCGCACATTTCGTGGCATTTAAGTTTTGAAAATTATAGGCCACGGAAACCCCGAAAATAATTTAGAATCACCCTGTATACACAAATTGAGACAGTATCGTTTCTATCATACTATTCTACATTTCAATGGTGCAAAGAGTTTGTAATGCAGTACTAATTTACGTACTTTCAAGGTGCCCACCTTCGTCCATCAAAGTACATAACTGCACGTTTAAAGCTTCAAGTAAAACATACGCATGAATTATGCCTTGAATTACTTGTGTTCATAATGGTTCAAACGTTCGTTTGAAGTGTAAATGCACTTTTATATCCAACTAAGTAAACATCATCCTCCCCAAGTGTCATATAGACCCTGAACTATTCTTCCGTACAGCACTCAGAGGAATTATTTTAAATAAAGAGGACATGGTCTTTTATTTCAATTTCTCCGTTGCTAATGCAGAGAGGTTAAATTCCCTGACAATGTTAACACGAAAGCCTTGACAAATTTGAACAACTCAGTTAATTATTTTAATAAACACCTGGAACTTGGATAAGAATATAAACACCGATTATTTGCTGTTAGTTTAAATGAATAGCTATGTAACTAACTAAATAAATCAATGGAGCAGAATCCTTTGCGCAGCCTAGGTTCATTATAGTCTTCACAAAAGCACGCCACTGGTTCCTACCATGAACCAAAATATCTAGTTTACATCCTAATATTGTACAATATTTTTGAGATCATATTTTAATATTATTTTCTTGTCCACAACCAAGAGCGCAAACTCTATGTATCTGTCTATGGCCCTACAGCACTTGTGGGCCTTGGCCGCTTTTCCAGTTCCTTAATCTATTCATAGCCGGTAGGCCTCCTGGGA